GCCCGCGGGCGACGAGCTGATGGCCTCGCAGCGCTGGCGCTGGTGCTTTCGCGGCTTCCGCTACCAGGAGGGCAAGGGGCCGCGGGAGGTGTGCAGCCGCCTGCGGGAGCTGTGCCGGGGCTGGCTGGAGCCCCAGCGCCGCAGCAAGGAGACGATGCTGGAGCTAGTGGTGCTGGAGCAGTTCCTGGCCGTCCTGCCCCGGGAGATGCAGAGCTGGGCGTGGGGGCACGACGTGGAGACCTGCGCCGAGGCGGTGGACGTGGCCGAGGCGTTTTGCCTGGGGCTGGTGCCGGACGAGGAGCCCGAGGTGAGATCCTTTTACCCCGGTCGCCCCGTCTCGGTGCATCTGGGGACGTCCCTTCCTGGCCCCGTCTCTCCCAGCGACGCGGTTGTCTCGTCCCCAGGTCGCGGGGCGCAGGCCGCTCGAGGACGTGGAAGGACCCGGAGCACGGCTGGAAACTCTCTGCACCCATCAGGAGCCGGCGTGGTCCCGTCCTGAGCACGCGCCCCTAGAGGAAGCGGGATGGGGTAAAACCCCAGGGCCTCAGGAGGAGCTGCCTCCTGTCCCCACAGACAAGTCCCCGCTCCGGCAGGAGCCAGGTAACATGCCAGGGGCCTGCGGTACGCGGGTGTTCAGCCCCTGGCATGAGGGGCTGGGGTCTCTCACTGCAAGTCTGTGGGGTGACAGCACTTTGGTCCTTGCCCCCGGGCACAACAGCAGCACCCGGCGGAGAGATCCTTTAGCTTTGACATGTTGTTTCGAAACCTGGCGTTGGGGAACCAGTGGGGTGTTGGGAGGGAGGATGCTCCAGAGGCAGAAAATGTCCCTGTTGGTTCCCTCCTGCTCTACACTGTGCCTCCCGATGCAGCGCCAGGGTCCCCGTTGCATCGCCTGCGGGGAGTGATGTCCGTGCTCGCCCCTCCCAGCAAGGGCAGAGTCACCGGGCCTCGCTTCCAGCTTCATGGCCGTGGAGGTCTATGAGAAGGGCCCTGCTACACATGGAAAGGAAAGTGGGCTAGAAACCGGCTATGGAGTTGTTACACATTTTCAAGCACTAACTTTGTATCTGCTTCGCTCTCTGGATAGCTAGGCGGTCATTTGTGTCACATGATGATGACATTGCATGCATAGCTGGTCTAATTTTATTGCACGGTTCACGGCGTGCCCATTTCTTTGCTCTTGTGGCTGGTTTTAGTTTGCTGACCTAAAATTATTGTGCGATTCACCAGTTAATTACGTAATACACGTAACGTCTAGCAGGGGCCTCGGAAGACCTGTGCACCTGTGACTCTTTCATCTCTCTCCTGTCCGGTACACTGAGGCCTGGAGGCCGATGCCAGCACGGGGGAGTAGCAGGGCTGTGCCTTTGCCAGTGGCATTAGGGCTAACCTGTGTCGTCGTCGGTGTTGAAGGCTCCTGCCACACATTACATAGATTACGCAGTTCACTGGTCTGTTGCACAATAAAAGTATACCCCGCACACATGCATAGTAATTATTGCACAATTCACTGCCTAACTGCACCATCAATTTCGACTGGCCCCATGCGCAGAGCAATTCTCACACCATAAAAACGGCCATCCGGCTACAAAAAGAGCCGACCAGCTACGAAGTTATGCATTTTTAAGCTCTAACAACTTTATAGCTTGAATGTGAACACGTGGCATGGGCCAAAGTCTTGGGGACTACAGTGCTGGCAAACAGTCACTGCCAGGAGATGCCAACACCAAACTTGTTTTCAAGAATGACTACAGACAAGGCTTTAATGCAGGTGTGCCCTTGATGAGGAATTGGTACAACACCACAGAGGCTCTTCTCGATCAATTAAATGTTCCCTTCATGTCCAATTCACCTTTTTACAGAGGTCAAAACAAATCATTTGTTACATTGGAACACTACCTTGATCATTTTGAGCCATCCTGTGCCAGCGGCACTTCTCCTGGTGCCCCCACTCCCCAACTGGCGCTTGCAGGGGGTACACCAGTGCTCCCGCCTGCCCCCCCGACTGTCACCTGAACAGGGAACGCTGGCTCTCGGGGTACACGTGCACCCCTGTGCACCTCCTAAGCGTCGCCACTGCCCACATGCCAGGTTTTGCTTCTGCAAGGAGTTTGGGCATCGGGCAGGTTCGCTGATCAGGCCTACTCTGGCCAGGGCTTTAGCAAAGCCTTTGTATGAGCAGTATCTATACACTGATGGAGGTTCCAGTGACTCCAACCTGTGGATGCTCTTCCTCTCCCAGCAGGTGCAGGGACCCTGAGCACAGCTGGGGAGCAGCCTGCTGAGGATGGGCCTGTAAACCTGGAGCTGCTGAGGCTGTCCCCAGGAAAATCAGGGGAGAAGGGGCTTCTGACGCCTGAGCCGGACCAAGTGCACGAGGAGCAGGGCAGGTGCCCACAACAGAGAGATGACACAGCCGTGAATGAGGTACAGGTGGCAGTGGGGTGCGAGTGTGGAGCCAGGGCAAAGCCCGGTGACAGTTGGGGATTGGGAGGGAAGATGTCTGAGAGCCTGGACCGCAGTCTCTGCTGGTGTTGTTACGGTGGCAGTGCCTCTTTATAGCACAGCACTTGCTAACAAAGGGAATAGCTGGACCCACTCAATGGATGATGTGAGCTGGAGCAGACAAACTCACGGCTGTCTCTGTAGAGCTGTGTCCACACCCGACCCTTTGCTGGAGCCAGCTATGTCAGCACAGGAGGAAGACTCAGGTTTGAGGAGGCTGGAGGCAAAGATGCTGATGCTGTAATGCTTTTGACTACAGCTCCTGGAGGCATTTGAGGACGTGGCAGTGTATTTCACGCAGAAGGAGTGGGAGCTGCTGGAAGCTGGAGACAAGGAGCTTTACCGGGACCAGATGCTGAGGAATTACCAAGCCCTTGTTTCCCTGGGTAAAGTTCTGGTTCTTGTTTCCCCACCCAGAGCTGTGTGGGATCAGAAACATCCCATTCTTCTTCCTGTTCCTTGACAGTCATATCCTCATGCGTTTTGGCTGGTGGTTTAAATGCATTCTCACCCCACTACTCTGTCCACTTCACATTTTCATGTCCTCCACTGGTTGTTTCAGACACCTTCCCTGGAGTCTTCCCCTTGGTCTAACCCTGTTGTTTCCATACCCAGCCATTTCTTTGCAAGATGATCTCCCCCGTGCCATCCCAGCCTGTTTATACCATCTTCAGTTCGTACATTTGTTCCCCAACAACCATCCATCTTCCTCTCTTCTCTGTTGTATTTGGTCCAAACGCTTAATCATCCCAACATGCAGTGCACATTTCAGTACTCTAGGGGTGAAAAGGTGTTGCCTCTCTCCCCCCCCCCCCCCCCCCCCCGCCCATGTGCCTTTAAAAGAAATGTTTATGGAGGCACAAAGGTGAAGCAAAAAGACCTCCATACCCTTTGAAGCACCAAAAATCCATGGCCTGACAGTGTTGGTAACAGTTTCTGTTGCTTGATTGCAGTGGACATCTGTTTGCTTGGTGGCAGGAGAATTTCCTGTGCTCTCCATCTGCTCCAGAGACTTGAGAGAGCTAATTCTGCAAACCCTATGATTTTCCAGGCAGGGTCGGGCCCCTGGAGCACTTGCTTGGCTTTCTCCTCTTTTAGAGTCTTGCCCTGGGGACTCCTGGGGCACATCTCAGTAAATTGAGAAAAGCAGGATTTGTCTGCTTACGGAGGCACACTCCTGGGAGCTGTAGAAGTGGGGAAAGCCGTGGGTTCCCTGCTTGAGGAGACAGGCTGGGGAGATACCAGGGACACGTCTCTTTAAGCAGGGAAGGCCATGAGGGCCCTGATTATGGAGACGTATAGATTCCCTGGTTTTGGATTACAGATTCCCCAGGTCCTCCACCATACCAGGTAGTTTGGAGACATCTGTTTCTCCCCTCAATCCCCGTTCTCCTTTTTAAATTGTGTCGGGTGATAACCAATGGAGGCATTAGCAGCAGTTACTGGTGCAACCCACGGCTTTTCCATGCCCTCAGCTTCTCTAGTCACACTTGTAGATGTGATGGACCACGGGTGCTTTCAACGAGGAGCCGTTGTACATTTCTTTCTAGCATCTTTGTTGTCATGGACCACAGGTAGCTTTGCCGTCCCATAACATTTTCTCATTCTGCTAGAGTCTCTACGAAAATCATGTGATGCTCAGTCATCTTCCCATGTCTCTCCACCATGTGTGACCGTTTTGCTACACACGTTTGGGCTCATTGATTGTACTTTGCAAGATCTTTCATTGTACGTGTACCTTCAAGCAGCAGGTGTGGCATAGTCTGATGCTCTGCCACAGTTGTGGGTGGTTGAACCAGTGGCATAGCCCCACTTCTTCATGAATTCCTGGGAGTATTCAGCTCCGGTGCGCAAGCGGTTGAGATATAGAAACATAGAAAGTTAGGGTTGGATGGGACCTTAGGAGGTCGCGCATCTAGTCCAACTCCCTGCTCCAAGCAGGACCAGCTCCAGCTACATTATCCCTGCCAAAGCTTTGTGTGGCCGGATTTTGAAACCCTCCAACGATGGAGCTTCCACCACCTTTTGGGGTAACCTGTTCCAGTGCTTTACAACCCTCCTAGTGAGAAAATTATTCCTAATATCTAACCTCAACTTCCCTTGCTGCAACTTGAGCCCATTGTTCCTTGTTCTGTCATCTGCCCCCACTGAGAACAGTCCGGCTCCATCATCTTTCGAACATCGCCACCATGGCCTTGTTTCATCAGCATCCGGTGGTAAGGACTTGGCTGCTGGAACATCCATTTTTCCACTGCCAGCTTTTATTTTTCAGCCTCTCAGTCCACATCTGTAGGCAACAAGCTGCTGCCCAGTAGTGCTTTGCTTAAGCAAGTATTAAATGACTGTAGTAACAACTGCACAGTCTGGTGCACATGTAGACGTGCCCACTGCATAGGCTTCAGACCAGGATTTTGATGACCCGTGGTGCAGATGATTGAAGATCTCTGGTAACACCATCCCTGTGAGCTTTTTGAGGAGATGAAGCTTTATATGTCTCACAATCATCGTTCCATTTCTTTGGGTGACAGAGGCCAGGGTCTGTTGAAGGTTTCTGCCTGCAGTGGCTTCTTTTTACTCCCCCCCCAAATGTCCTTACCTTTTCCTTTGAATTCCCATTAAATGCTTGATCCATTGGATCCTTTCTCCAGATCCCAATCAGGCACCAGGTGGTGTAATAACCACTCTCTGTACACTCCCCAGAACAGGGTATGGAGCTCCCACAACCACCTAAATGTACTCCTTCCTAAGCATCCTCCTTTTAATCCCCATTGACATGAATCCACTAGATCCTTTCTCCAAGTCCCAATTGGATGCTGGAATAACCACCCCCTCTACACTCGCCAACACAGGGTATCAAGGTCCTGCACCGGACTTAATTTGCCGCATCCAGCGAGGGGAGATGGAGCTCTGGGTTGGTGATAAGAAGGCAGCTGGAGAAAGCTCGTTATCTGAGGACTTGGCCCCAGGTAAGGCTTGAATATTTCCTGCTCCCCTTCCACCTGCACCTCAGCTCAGAAGCTCTCAATACCGAGTGGGGCTAGAAACCTGAACACCTGAGCTGCTGCCACAAGATCGTGGCATCACACAGCTTAGCTAAATCTGTTGTCCAGGCAGGTGTGTGTACCCACCCTTCGCATTTCAATGATGCAGAGACAGGCAACCGATCCCTTATTTTTCCACTTATTAGAACTGTTTAGGTAGGACATCTGCCTTCAACCCTTCAGATTCTCCTCTCCAGAGGTATTTTGGCAGGGGTTTCTATCATGGAAGGCAGGGGCTGCCCATGGGGAAGTATTAAAATGCTACAGACAAAGCCTAGAGCACATGGCACAGGCATGACCAATCAGGTAGCGGGGGCTTGTGACCCCTCTAACAACTCACACCACCACTCTCGACCGAACGGTGGTGGGGTTTTGAGGCATTGGACCTCTCCAAGAGCAGCGCTTAACCAGTAGGAGGGGGTGTAGGAGTGGGGCCTAGACCCAAAACTCTGGACTACCTGTTATCCAAAAGCTGTTGGGAAACCCTCCAAATCCAAACACGTGTTTTCTGAGACCACAGTAATGCAAACATCTCACACTACAGCGGTAAGACCCTTTGTCCTTGCTTGGCCACCAAACCTTGTCAGACGTCTGCAGAGTCCACCGCAGCAACAATTCTGAGGAGGGGGAGAGTAAAGAGAGCAGCCCCTACCCCAAAGGCTGTCTGAGACACGTGAACCTGGGCAGGAGACCCATGCAAGCAGACAGCAGGGTGGGGAGCCTTATGCCACACACCTTTTTTGTTTGTCTGAGCACCCTATCTCATTGCATTTTTGGTCTCTGTTACAGAGAGCCTAACTCATGGGAAAACCCCAGTTGCCACAAGCAATTTTATCACAGCAAGGTAAATATTTATGTAAAAAAATGGAGGGGTTATTTGTGGTTGCATTCATGTAAGTGCATAATGTTGTAACGAGGGCTATAACTGCTTGTCCCAAAACAGAAACGCTTCTTCCAGAATAGAAAATCGGGACAAACGTATATCCTCGTGGCTTTACCCTGCAACAAAAGGTATGGTTTTCTGCAGTCAAGCTTTTGAAACTGTGTGCGTGTGTGTGTGCATGTGTGTGTATGCATGCATCCAGTGGTTGCATAGCTCAGTTACAGATTTAAATTTTACGTCGGGAAGGCAAATGCACATGACCGGTACGTTTTAAAAACCCACTGAACTGTTGTATAAATCGGATTCAATACTTAATATTTATTTTGATCACTGCCATCTCATTTATTTCGTGGGTGCCTGTCAGCAGTCTCCTGGAGATTTATATCTAATTCCTGGAGACTTCAGGGCAGTCCTGGAGAGTTGGCAGCTCTAGTATGTGTGTGTGGGGTGGGTGCGTGTACAAATTCATTAACGAGCTTTAGGTAACGTGTATTAAATCTAGTACCTCTGGGTGTCTGTACGCGAGCCTGGAGGCTGCTCCAACGTGCTTTAATATCAGTGTGTTGGAGCAGACTCAGTTAATTGAGTCTGTTGGAGCCTGGTAATTACTGCACTCCAGCCTGCCTCTGCATCTTGTGTATTAGTGTCCCTGCAGTTTGAAATGGCGGCAGGGGTGCTTTATCTAAAGCTCATTGAACGAGCTTTAGATAAAGTGCCTCTGCCAACATTTTGAAGCATAGAGACACTGATACACGAGATACTCCGAGTGCCTTAATTAGAGCGGCTCCCAGAGCCGCTGTAATTAAAACAGCCCCCCCTCCCAGCACTCGTGTAAAAGCACCCTCCATTGTGAAGTACTAGAAAAATCTGCATTAACCTATTTAATGCACATTAACTAAAGAGCACAGGGTGTTTTGTGGCACTTTAATGAGCATTAAAATAGGCTAATGTTCAGTAAAGCGCTTGTGTAGATGCATCCTGTGTGTGTTGAGCTGTATGGACGTGGTTTTTCATTTTGCTAAGGGCTTTTTTTTTTTTTTAAGTGAGCACTGTTTTGTTTTTGCAAAGCCTAGTTCTTTGTTTGTCAGTGTTAGGTTGCATTTGCTAAGGACATTTTAAAGCATGGGGGCTCTTGCATTTTGGTGGAGCCTAATTTTGCTAAGGGGTTTTTAAAGCATGCGCTGTCTGTCTCTCTGGAGCCTGGCATCTAGCTTAGGTTGTGTGTGGGTGTGTTTTATTTACTAAGTGTAGGGCCTCTTTCAGACTTATAGCATATGTATGGGGTTACGCTCAGGCATGCATTTGTGGAGCATGAATTCTTGATGCTGAGATGTACATTTTCTATTTCCTAAGTGATTTCACGCAACACCCCCAGAGAAGGAAGTGGCGCTTCGGAGAAGCAGCTCCTAGAAACACCAGAGGGATGGGGACAGGGACGGAGGCCTCTAACAGCACTTACAGAAAACCACAGAAACGTTCCACTTCAAAACCAGAATGCCCAAGGACCAGAAGGCCAGAAGAACCGAGCAAAAAGGCATGGTAAAAAGAAGATAAAACCTCATGGTTGCTCAGAAGAAAACATACCGCCAGACCCTGGGAGAACCACCCATAAAAAGACAAGGCTTCACAGCACCAAAGCTGGTGAATTGGGGTTGGTGAATAAGAAACCCACGACAGATTGCACACGCACTATAGAAAAGCCAGAGGAGGAGGAGGAGAATCTTCATCTGCTTTTGAAAGATCATGACTATTTTGAACACCAAAAGAGGATTGCTTTGGGAGGTGTGGGTGCCCATCTTGCCTTGAAAGACCATGATTATTTTGAAAGCACAAAGAGCGGGTCTTTGGCAGGTGTTGGCAGGCATATATATTTCAGAAATAGTGCACGGAGTGCTTTGAAAGATCATGATTATTGTCAGAGCAAAAGGGCCTCTTTTGTACAAAGAAGAGGTGGTCTGCGTGGAATGCATCATAGGAAGGGAGGAGGTGATAAACCCTGGGATACAAATGGAAGGCTTACCAGCAAGTGGTTTGAAGGGCAAAAAATAAGGGCCTGGCTAAAGATGAGAATGAGGAAGGCTAAAATCCTGTTGAGAAAACATAAGAAATCCCCTAGAGATGGTGCTGGTAGTAGGTGTATTTTAGAAAACCGATTGGAGAGTCCCTTGAAAGCTTCTCCTCCTCCAGAGCCCGTGGAGTTAGAGAACAGGGATGGAGACCATGATTTAAATGTCCCGTTGGAGAGTCCCTTGAAAGCTTCCTCTCCTCCAGAGCCTGCAGAGTTAGAGAGCAGGGATGGAGACTGTGATTTAAACGACCAGCTGGACAGTCCCTCGGAAGTTGATCCTCCTGGAGCTGTGGGGGTTAATTTGCCAGACGTACGTCTGGTGCGGGTGAGAAGGCAGGACTGGCCCGTAGCTAGGTTTGGAGCCGCAAGGTATTCCGAAGAGTTCCGCTTTGTAAATCTGGAGCTTGTGCCGCTACACGTGGCATACAAAGCTATAAGCGGGGGGATAGAAGAAATCATAGCTGACCTCCACGAGAAATTCACGCCTGCCGACTATGCCCAGGTACGCATTGAGGCAGAGACCGCAAGGAACTGCTTATATTCTCGAACCATTCGTTTAAATCAGATGACCACTGACCTGTTTGTAGAGTGGCTCAGAGACCTGTCGCAAAGCCAGAGAGAGATACGCTTTGATTCAACGTTCTGGCTGGTCGCGGTTGTTGTAAGAGGAGTAGGCAGCGGTGGGCGAAGAGTGATAAATTCTATCCCCTACTCCGAACTCATCACTAGAAAAAGGAAGTATTTAATCGACCTGAATACCTTTGATACTAATCTGTGTTTTGCAGGCAGTCTTTTGGCTCTCACAACACACAAAGGAGCCACAGATGCTGTACTGCTAGCTGGTGCAAACCAGCTGCACAGAAAACTGGAGTGGCCAGCTCAGAAAAAGGTCACGCTCAACGAAGTAGCATTGTTTGAAGACCTTGTACAAGTTAACATTCATATCGTAATGCATAAGGAGGAAAAGGGCTGGGGCTTATTTAAAACGTACAGCTTTCCCAGGTACCCCAATACCTGCTTCCTTCTGCTGCACGATGGACATTATTATGGCGTCAAGGATGCGAGAAAGTTATTTGGTGTGAGAAATTACTGCGATCTTTGCCATGCGTTGTATAGTCATAGCCACAAGTGCAGGTTCTGGTGCCGCCTCTGTCTGAGCCCGGGGTGTGCAGACAACGTGGGCGTAGCAGAAAAATGCCCTACCTGTAAGCTGGTCTGTCGGTCCAAAGAGTGCTTAGACAGGCACATGGCTCTGGCCTCCGAAAAACAGATTGACTGTCTCTCTAAAACGTGGTGTTATGCGTGTCAGTCATATGTGGACAAAGACCACGAGTGCAACAACAGGCAATGCAAGCAGTGTTACAGGCAGATCTCTGATGCAGACAAGCACCGGTGCTTTATGCGCAAGATTACAACACCTGAAATAGGCACTGGGTACATTTGCTATGATTTTGAATGTATCCAGGAGACAGAGATGCACGTGCCCAATTACATTTTTGCAATGAAGCTAGCTCCAGAAAAACCTTGGGAAGCTGAGGCCAAAAAGGCAGAAGATACTTGGGAATTTAAGGGTAAATGGTGTGTCTCTTACTTTATTAAGGCCTTTATCACTAAAAGGTTCCAGGGCTACACCTTCATAGCTCACAACACCAAAGGCCGTGACAACTACTGCATAGTTAGCCAGCTATCGAAGGAAAGAAAGGGTGTGAAACTCATCGCCCAGGAAGGTAAACTCGTGTGTATCGAAGTGACCAGCCTGGGTATCCGTTTCATAGACTCTTCAAACTTCTTGCCAATGAAACTTAACAAGCTTCCACAGGCAATGGGATTTGAAGGATGTAGAGGGTATTTCCCTCGTCGTTTTAACACGCCAGAAAACCAGAATTACGTGGGACCTCTCCCGGAGGCACGGTACTACGGAGTCGAAAGTATGATGCCTTGTGAAAAGGAAGAATTTCTAGAGTGGTACTGGGAGAACCGTGATAAGACCTTTGACCTGCAGAAGGAACTGGCCTATTATTGCCAGCAAGATGTGAAAATGTTGATGGAGGCCTGCCGGCTCTACAGGAAGGAGATTATGAAGATGACACGGCAGGGAGACACGATGGAGAAGACGGGTAAACTCGTGACCAATTGCTGCATAGACCCCTTCCAGTACATCACGCTGGCATCTGTCTGCATGGCCACGTACAGGTTTATGTTTCTGAAACACGAGACCATAGCGCTTCTGCCCCCGGACAACTATCACAGACAGAGAAAGAGGTTGTCAAGCCCCTCTACTCAATGGCTAATGTACATATCGGAGAAAGAAAATATTCCAATCCAGCACGCTTTACAGGGTGGAGAATTTCAGGTAGGCCCCTATTTTTTAGACGGCTATGCCAATATTGATGGGAAACAGATGGCCTTTGAATTTAACAGCTGCTTTTTCCGTGGCTGTCTCATCTGCTACTACGAAAAAGACTGGAACCCACTGATGGGGACAACCTATGGTTTTCTGAATTACCAGACACTGTACAAGACCGATTACCTCAAGAGAGCGGGGTTTACTGTCCAGACCATTTGGGAGCACGAGTGGAGGGCTCTGTTACAATCGGACAGGAAGCTTACTGATTTCCTAAGCAGAACCCAGCTGCCTTCTCCTCTGGTGCCTAGGGACGCTCTCTTCGGGGAAAGAGCTGAGGCTATCTGTCTCTATTACAAGACTAAACCGGGTGAACAAATACACTATTACAATTTTACCGGCCTCTACCCCTTCATAAACAGAACGAAGGAATACCCCGTCGGGCACCCTGAAATCATTGACAACAACTTCGGACCCCTGTCGAGCTATTTTGGAATCGCCAAGGTGAAATTGTACCCGCCGCAAAGCCTCTTTTTCCCCGTGCTACCTCTCAAGGTGAATAGGACAGTTATGTTCCCGCTGTGCCGTGTCTGTGCAGAAACAAGCCAGCAAAAGTGCACACACACTGATGAGGAGAGGGCCCTCGTGGGCACGTGGTGCACTCCGGAGTTGAACAAAGCAATCGAGAAGGGGTACAAAGTGGCTAAAATCTATGAAGTCTGGCATTTCAGCAAGACGACTAATGCACTTTTCTCACAGTACATAAATCTGCACCTCCGACAGAAACAGGAAGCCTCAGGCTATCCTGCCTGGTGTACCGACCAAGACAAACGAGACCGATACGTGGCTGATTTCTTCCAAAAAGAAGGCGTATCTTTACGCCAAGAGCATATTAAACCCAACCCTGCAAAGCACCAAATTGCAGAATTGTTTCTAAATTCTTTGTGGGGCCAATTTGGCCAGAGGACAGACCTCCCGAACACCACCACCGTGAGAGACCCCGGTGAACTCTTTGGCTACCTTTTTTCTCCCAGCTACGACGTTTTATCTTGTGACTTCATCGATGACGAGATGGCCTGCGTGTTGTGGAAGTATGCCAAAGAGTGTTACAAGCTCTCAGACAGCACTAATATCTTTATAGCCAGTTTTACCACCGCTTATGCACGCTTAGAGCTGTACGAGCTGCTGGACAGGTTGCGAGACCGGTGCCTGTACCACGACACCGACTCCGTGATATTTGTGAGCCGCAAGGGAGACTGGAACCCTCCGCTCGGCGATCGTTTGGGCGAGCTCACGAGCAGGATCCCGGCAAATGAACACATCACGGAGTTTGTTTCTGCAGGCACGAAAACCTACGCGTATAAGCTGTCAGGAGGAAAGGCCTGCTTGAAGGTCAAAGGCATTACCCTGGATGCGGCCAAATGTGGGAAAGTCAGCTTTGAGACCTTGAGAGATCTCATTCTAGATGCCAGTGACCCCCGGCGGGGACACCCCTAAAACAATTGCGACGCGGCAGCGCTCTGTCCTCGGGACCGGAGAGGTAGACAACACAAACCAAGGCCCTTCAAACACAGCAAGTCCTTTATGCCAAGGGTCCTCGCAGGAAACTTTAAGAGCCTCCCGTATGGTTTTTGATCGTGGAGACACGGTGCCTGCATACATTTCCTGTGATTCTCAACTCTAGCAAAAGTCACTTTATAAAAAAATTTTAAAAAAATCTATATTTTGTGGTGCTATAACTGTTTGGCAGCCCAAACAGTGTGTAAAGAGCTACTTTATCAATACCTTTTTATCAAATTTATGAAGGGATTGCCGGACAGTCTTAATGACAATCTTAATAAAGTAAATACGACTGTGGTGGATGATTTGATGGACTCTGCTTGTGAGAGTGGTGAGACCTGAGAGGCTGTGAGCAGCATGTATATCCTCCAGATACGTTTTTTCTGCCAGGGGGGGAAAGGAGTTGCACCATTTAACCCAAAACACGTGGTTCTGTTTAAAAATCCCAGAGAGAAACTAAAGGTGTCCCTGACAAGGCGCAATTCTTTCTAGAAGCTTTTGGGGATGCTAATTTTTTAGCATCCCTACTTACCATCCTTATGGGTGGTACACGTTAACACTTCTACCCCAGAGACTTTTAGATTCAGAACCAGGCTTTTCCCTCCCAACCAGCCGACTTTGGAAAAAAAAACAGTGGGTGGGAACCGTTTCAGCAATTGCTCTGAACATCTTAGAAGGAAATATCCCTTTGACCCCCCCACCGCATCTGTGCGCTGAAAGAGCGATGCAGAATCACGAAAAGCATAAGACATAAGGGACTCTCTGTTAAGAGAGAAACAGGTGGTGAAACAGTCTAGGGTATTTATCCCCCCACCTCCAGTTAAGTTTTGCTATGGCTTTGATCATGGGGCTTTGGACTAAGGAGTGATGGAGTATGCAGAAAAAAATGTACCTGGTGCCCAACCACCAGCTGGAGCAAATAAGGGCTCTGCTGCTGCCGGACCTGCTTATTGAATGCTGAAGTAAGGGTCATTCTCCAAAGGCTGGGCTTAGTTGAATATGATAAAGCTAAACTGGATCATAGAAAACGAGGGTGGGAAGGGAGCTCAGGAGGTTACATCTAGTCCAACCCCTTCCTCAAAGCAGAACCAGCCCCAAGCAGATCATCCCAGTCAAGGGTCTTAAACACATCCATGCTTCAAAAACACCTGATGTATGTGAAGCAGGGTGACCTGGACCGAGGGAACCCCTTAGAACTGCGAAATCCCTAGAAACTCCACCGAATCCTGACCCCGGCAGTCAGGAAGTGTCGGATAACGGGCATGCTCGATATAGGAAAAATGCACAAGTTGCTCAGCAAGCTGAGCTAGCCCAAGCTCCTTTTTCTTGAAATGATCAAGGAGGTTTTGTGCACTAAGGAACGGCCACGAAGGCCACATCCAGATGAGCGAGCATGTGCCTGTTTGGCATCTCAAAGCAGTTTGGGACACCGCAGGAGGCACAGCACGGACAAAAAAAAGTTCCCTGTGCTGCAAAATGGGCTGCATGCATGCGAGCGAGCACCCCTCTCTTAGAGAAGAGATTCTTGATTGGGGGGGATGGGACGCATGAGAATGGCTTAGAAAAAATACTGAATGGCAAAAAAGACAAAATCAACAGGGATTTATTATTTGCTATCTCACCATTCCAAGAACTAGGGGTCCCAGCATGAAACCAATAGGTTGTAAGTTTTCAAGTGGACCAAAGGAAGTTATTTTTTCACCCTATGTGGAATTAAAGGGTGAGACTTATTGCCACCAGACATGGTAGAAACTGCAAGTTTGTCCAGATTCATTGCATTCTTGGAGGAAAGGGGCATCAATCGCTATTGAACATGGGTTACACTGGACAATAAGCTGAATAGGAGCCAGCTGGCCTTGTTGCAAAGAAGCCTAATGGCATCCTGGGCTGTGTTGGTAAGAGCGTTGCCAGCAGATGAAGAGAAGTGTTTCTTCCCCTCTATTCAGCACTGGAGCCCTGTGTCCAGTTTTGGACCCCCCGTTACAGAAAGGATGTGGACAAGTTGGGGGGTCCAGCAGAGGACAATGAAAATGGTTCAGGGGCTGGGACATGACATGACTTGGGAGGAGAGGCTATAGGAACCGGGCTTGTTTTGTCTGGAGAAGAGGAGACTCAGAGGGATTTAACAGCAGCCTTCAACTCCCTGAACAGTGGCTCCGAAGAGGACGGAGCTGAACTGTTCTCAGTGGGGGCAGATGACAGGACAAGGAGCAATGGGCTCAAGGTGCAGCAAGGGAAGTTGAGGTTGGATATTAGGAAAAACTTCCTCACTAGGAGAGTAGTAAAACACTGGAAGAGGTCACCCAGAGAGGTGGTGGACTCTGTCCTTGGAGGTGTTTAAGACCCAGCTAGACAAAGCCCTGGCTGGGATGATGTAGTTGGGACTGGTCCTGCAGGGGTTGGACTAGATGCGAGCTCCTGAGGTCCCTTCAACCCTCATTTTCTATGACTGATGATAAAACAGTTGCATCCTAAGGCTTTTCTTGGTATCCTGTGATATTGCACCCATCTACACCCTCTGTTATTCCCTTCTTTCCCCACCGTTATGGGGGTGTTTTCTGTTTCCCGGCAGAGGGCATTCATTATGGCCTCAGCACTGATTTACATCAGTCTGAAGTCACTGAAAATAGAAATGACCCTTGGAGCCTTCTACTTCAGCCTGATCTCAGGGGAGACGCCGTCAGCTCTCGGGATGAAAGTTAAGCTGTGCTCGTAGCAGTCACCAGAAGGCAAGACGGCCACGCACGGCAAGAACAAATGTGATTCCATCCAGTAACAGGCAACGAGGCCCAAGCAAACCCAATGCATTGATGGGGACACCGTCCTACCTAGATGCTCTTTGGGGCAGATATTCTTTTTTTCTTCTTGAAAGTATAGTATTTATAACTTTTCATAGCATAACGATAAAATAAACCAACAAAAAGAATAACATAAACTGCAAAGTCAAATCCAATAAGAAAACAAAACCAAAGTATTACACAATAGATACTTAAAGAGCCATAGTAGAAATTGAGTTACGGCTAGGGGAAGGGGAGAGCTTGAGATTAAATGCCACCAACAACTAAATAAGTATATATATATTTAAAGGGTACCGAGCCACAAGCAAATCAATTCATAAGCTTAACATAACATTCATCTTGCACCATATTTCTTCATATTGAGCCCTAGGCAGGTATTTGTAAGAGAAGAATAAGTTTTGGGGGAAAGGACACATTTTCAGCATTAAAATCATAGAATCGTAGACCGTGAGGGCTGGAAGGGACCCCAGGAGGGCACATCTAGTCCAACCCCCTGCTCCAAGCAGGACCAGCCCCAACTACACCAAGCCAAGGCTTTGTCTACCCAGGTCTTAAACACCTCCAAGGATGGAGAGTCCACCACCTCCCTGGGTGACCTCTTCCAGTGTTTTACTACCCTCCTTGTGAAAGAGTTTTTCCTAATATCCAACCTCAACTTCCCTTGCTGCAGCCTGAGCCCATTGCTCCTTGTCCTGCCATCTGCCCCGACAGGGAACAGCCCAGCTCCGTCCTCTTTGCAGCCCCCCTGCAGGGAGGTGAAGGCTGCTATTCAATCCCCCTCCGTCTCCTCTTCTCCAGACTAATTCAGCCCAGTTCCCTCAGCCTCTTCACACAAGTCGTGTCCCCCAGCCCCACAACCATTTTTGTTGCTCTCCACTGGACTCTCTCCAATTCATCCACGTCCTTTCTGCAGTGGGGGCCCACAGCTGGACACAGGACTCCAGATGTGGCCTCCCCAGTGCTGAATAGAGGGGAAGAATCACTGCCCTCCATCTGCTGGCAATGCTCCTGCCAATGCAGCCCGGGATGCCGGTAGCCTTCTCGACACCAAGGGCGCACTGCTGGCTCCTGTTCAGCTTACTGCCACTGTGACCCCCCAGGTCCTTTTCTGCAGAGCTGCCGCTTCGCCTACTCCCCCCTGTGCAGGAGGGTTGCACTGCCCGCATACACTTACTGTTGCCAAGTGCCCATAAATTAAACCTTATGGACAGTCCACAAGAAACAGGTCCATCCCTCTTGGCCCCAACTCGGCCTCGCTGTCACGGTCCCAGCCGCCTCTGGCCAACGCGTCATGGATGCCATCGCTACCGTCACAGCCGCCACCCCCCTTCACGGCAGCTGCTATCGCCACGTCGTGGCCACCACCATCGCCAACGATTCGCGGCCGCCACCATCACCGCCACGGCCGCTCTCACCACCGCCACGACGGCCGAGAAAGCCCGAGGCTCCACGACTTTAGCCAGGCTTGATGCCCGGGAGCAGGCTGCCCGCTGTGGTCACTCCGGCTCCTCTTTCACCTTGCGGGGCAGCGGCGACGGCTCCTCCTTGACCCACGGGGCCTCGGCGGCGACAGGCAAGGGCGATGCCGGCTCCTCCTTGATGTCCGGCGGGGGAGGCGAGGGCGTCCCCGGCTCCCCCTTCAGCTCCCAGGTGCCCGGGGGCAGCACCACGACGTCCTCGGCCCGCACGAAGGCGTCGCGGTAGAACCGCGTGCCC